TATCTATTCAAAGAAAACTCATATCAATAATATGAACATACTCTCATGACCACAAATAGACAAAAGTTATCTTGAACTCTTTTGAATCACATGTAGCCACACAGATATAAGATGTAAAGTAGAAATTCAAAATTTACTTGATAAAAGAACAAAAGATAAACTTATGGGGAACACAAATTTGATCGAGTAAATTTGTTGTGCTATAAGTTACTATTCTTATGATAATCTCTCATTAAGGAGATGAAATGTGGGATCAAAAATTTAGAAGAAAAAAAATTAGAAAAAAGGTGGGGAATAGTTTGAAAGAGAATGTAGTTTCTATAAAATGAAACTTGATTAACTATTTTTTTTTATAGTTTAATCTTTTAATAATAAAATAAGAGTCTCATTTATAAAATTACTTCTTTTTAACTAACTTATAGATCTTAAAAAAAATATATAAAATATATTTCATATATAATAAATAGTTAAAATTATAAAATAAAATGTTAGTAATACATTCTTAGTATTTTTTAATAACATAACTATTTGTCAATCCTTCACTGGCAAAAAGCATAATTCTAGTGTAATTTTTTTCAAAAATTATTGAAATGGACAATTTAAAAAAAATTACAAAAATAAACAAGTTGTGTGAAAGTGGTAAGTTTTCTATATGAAAAAGTTGCGCTACGATAGTATGATTTTAGTGTAAGAAAAGTTGAAATTGTATTAAAGTAACATGACTTTCAAAATATTTTAAATTCGTATCAACCCCTAATATGATTTTTACCAAAACTAAATTAAAATTGTGTTACCTTAACATGACTTCAACTTAAAGATACTTTACACTACTAAAGTTATATCTATCTTAACATAACCTTTTCACAATGACATTATATCAAGTTAGTACAACATACTTTTTTTTTGTAATTTTTTAAACACTGTCCATTTTAGTAATTTTGAAAAAGAAAATTGCATCAATTTGGTACTTTGTCCATCCTTTACTTGCCCCCCACAAGGCAAATTCAAGAACATGTTTAACCAGGTGAATATGACTCAAAACCTTTTTGGACTCCAATTACTTTTATGGAGAAAAGGTTAAACTTGAATATCACATTTTATTTTGTTTTTAGGAAGAATGATGTACATCTCTTCCTTTTTCATTGAGAATTACATTAACAAAACGAAGAAGAGAGAGAAAGAGAGTGCAAAAATATGTTTTGCTAAGGAAATATGTACTCGTAATTACATTTCACTTAAGTTTAAACATTGTACCCAAAACACTAATGGTTGTTCCCAATTAATTCGATTTGTTAATTATTTTATTTTAAAATAGTGTTTTACGCTTTTTACCATTTCTAAATGTATAATACTTGTAATTGTTTTATTCTTCCATAAGTTTCATGGGGTTGATTATTACAAGAATTTTATATATTTTCTTTGATGTCCAGGGGTTTTAGTTCTATAATTATGTAAAGTTATTTTTTGTGTGTGTATTATTTGATTTGATGTCTAACTTATCTTAGTCAACTAGTCAACTCTAATTGTTGCTTTTTGAAGTGTGCTAGAAAGAATGGATAAAATTTTTAAATTTTCTTCTATTATGCGACTTGAAAATCAACTTGAAACTTTTATAAGAGATAAAAAAAATTTAAGTTAGACGAAGTTGTTAAGTATAAGTGAAAAAAAAAAAGTATGTTGCATAATTAGAGGTAGTTTTGATTTTACTTATGACAACTACAACAATTAAAAATATTAAAAAATGTTTCTCAGCATATGAAAATGTAGAATACACTCTATCGTTTCAAAGATAAATGAATGAACAATTATTTAGTTGTATATACATAATGAAAGATATTTTTTTATATTGACAATAAAGAAAAAGATAGAACATTTTCAAGATATAAAAATGCAAAGAGGACAGTTGAACTCAAAATATAGGTATTATAGATTTCGATTCATGTTATATTTTTTAAGAAATATTCTTTATTTTTATAAAAATTGTAATATTTTATTTCAGTAAAAATATTATAATTTTTTTTACTAAGAAATTTTTGTATCATATATAGATAAATAGATAATAGATTATTTTTCAACTTGTAAAGAACTCAGACCATCACCCTTTGAGTTCCAAGTGCTACTTGCAGCACATACTCATCTTCCTATTCTCACTCGTTTAAGCTTTTATTTTTATTAATAAAATAACATATTTATTTTTATTAATAAAATAACATATTTTTTAAAAAAGAACCAAGATAATTTTTTTCTTTCATGCGAAGGAATCCAAACTCAACAACAGGTCCAAATTATAAAATAATTGTAGTGCTGGAAGGTGATTACTTAAAATAATATAAAAAGAAGGTAAGAGTAAAGGAATGTTGTATATATTTTTATATTTTTATTTTAACTTTTAACCATTGAAATCAATATCTTTTTATTCTGTACTCTTTTTTTTTTTAATTTTCCTTTCATACAAAGATAACAAATTTACATGTTTATTCAAAATACATAATTAAAACCAAGACAATGGTAGTTTGACATAAAAACTCATCCTTTAATTTTTTTCTTTTTCTTTAAAATTACAAAAAAAATATCATTTTTGTTAGGATAATTTTATTCTATAAAAGTAATAAGAGGTGTAAAATAACCTGTATCCTTAAAACAAAAGTTTTAAAATGCCAGAAACTACAATCAAATTCAAAACTTTTTCAAGAACTAGATGCACCATAATCCAAAATGGGAAAGGAAAAAGAAAAACGATTACAAATATTACATACATTATCTCATCATCGCCACTTACGTTTTCTTTCCTTTTTATATTCCATGCTTATTCAGATCCCATAATCAATTGCTGTCATGCATTTTGTACTTTTTAAGTTTCTTTGTAGAACCCTTACTTCCCATTGAGAAAATGCTCAATGAAAAAGAAAACCCACTGCATGGTTAAAGAATCACTACATCAGAAGTTTTAACTTTCTCACATGTTAGCATCGATAGGGAATCATCAGACAGTGTTCGGGTACCTACATTTAGAACAAAATACATCCACGCAGCAGAGGAGACAAACTGTTTCATGATTTATCATATAATCCAACATTGATTACAATCATCATATAGATTCACATAACAAAAATATTTAAAAAAACACTGCATGAAGACAAAACAGAATCATCTTGAGTTTAAAAATTTCCCACTGATTAAATAATATAAACTGCAGAAAAATTAGTAGATTTAACTTATTCGAGTTCCTATAAGAATTTCAGAAAAAACGAGTGTACAGAAATTTAAATATTTATAATATAAACTAACACTGATTATAATACATCATAGATTAACAAACTTGTTTCATTCAAGTTTGCAACTTGGCATTTTGCTTCTTGGTACAAAAAGGAAATTAACAAATATTTTTTTCTCTATTTCTTGCTAAAAAAACTTTTCAATTTCCCTCTTTCCAACCGTTCATGCAGCTTTTTAGCTCCTGGAATGTCCATCTCAGTAAGTTTCTTGAGATACCCAATAGCCCCATACGAGATCATTAGCTTCTTACATTTCTTACTTGAAGAAAGTGATCCGAGGCATGTGACTGCATATTTTTTTGCAGTGTTCTGAGGACTTGGATCGAGCAACTGAACCAAATTTGGCACACTTTTATCATCCTTCTTGACTTCTCTCCTATTCTGAGACACAACCATCAGGCTTGCAATTGCTTGGGCAGCAACCTCTCTAGCACTGTTTGACTTAGCCTCAAGCATTTTCACAATGAGAGGGATGCATCCAGCTTCACCAACCATTTTCTTCATGTCTGTCGAGCTGCAAACTCTGCATATGGCAGCTACGGCGGCTTGCTGAGCACCTAAAGATCCCGACTTTAACACGTGAACCAATCGGGGGACCAAACCGAGAGAGACCAAGGATGTCTCAGGGACCGATCCGACCAAATTCCTCAATGCTCCAACAGCGGATTCTTGAGGAAGTGGACCATCAAGATAAGCCAGAAGACTCCTAACACCACCTTCTGATATGACACTCCTCCTTAGATTCTCGTTGCTTGCAGTGAGATTCTGCAAACATTCTGCAGCATGCTCTTTTGAACCTAACAGAATACCACAGTTAAGAAGATTGATCATGGTCCTCACAATCCCTTCTTCGGACAAAGTTTGTCTCACCTCAGGCACAGCTGATATGTTCTTCAGAGTACAAGCAGCCGAAGCCTGTGACACAGAGTCACCAATTTGACAAAGTTCAACCAATGGAGGGACCCCACCATGTCCCACGATTGCGCGAGCTGTTTCGGCTGACATAGACAACCTCTGAAGGGATATCGTGGCCTTCTCCTTCCCCACTGCACTGCCAGATTCTACAAGCCTTATAAGAGGTGGCAGAACTCCCTCAAAAACTAGCCAATTTTCGTAACTACTAGATTCTGCAAGCAAGCATATAACAATAACTTTTTTCTCTCTTATTCTGACAGAGGTAGTTGTAAGCAATTGAACCAAAGCAGCAATGTTGCTCCGACCAAGAGCCGCTAAAACGTTCTTCTCATCTTCCTTCATGGCCTCAACAACGCTGTCTAGAGCTTGGTGCTTTGCTTCCAAGTGCCCGATCTGAAGACGCGCCAGCAATTCCCTTATGTTGTTGTGTATTGCAACATCTGATTTTGCCACAGAACTTGACACGACCAATGGTAAAGTAGCCTCACCCAGCACACCAGTTTTGATCAAAAGCCCACAATCCCTCAAATTCAAATCAAGCTTCCCAGTCAATGCGTCTAGATCACTCTGCATCCGAAGCTTACCCTCATACTTTTGCTTCATACACAACTCGGCTAATTCAATCGCTTCCCCAAGCGTCTTTGACACAGCCTGCAACTGCTCCTTGCATAAAGCATTTTTTGAGAAGCACGGATGGCTTGACAAATCTGATAATCGTGACGGGATCTGTTCCAATTTTGCAATGATCATCTTCCATCTACCGGCAAATCCCTTAGCCTCTCTTGCCTTATCAAGAACAACGGGAACAAGTTCCTGTGCATGCAACAACCAGTCTTCTGTGGAACGTGCATCAACTGCAACCTCATCACCATCTTCCACCATGATTTCGGTTTGGTACGCGCAGAACCGATGATTAGCTGCCACAAACGGAACACAAGAAAATCAAGCCTTCAAAGAAATGCCCCAGATGCAAATTGGTAAAATAGAAAAACGATATCAGCACAGAGAATAGTTATAAGGCTGTGGTGGAGCAGTTGCAATCATATAATCCGTAAATTATAAACTAAGACTCCCATAGAAAACTCTGAGGCAGAAAAAAACAACCACCCCAATACCCCCAACAACTTCGAGAATCTCCTATGATCACACAAAGCTTGTTTACTGAAAGCATGACTCGACCAACAAAACTGAAGTACCAAAACATGCCCCACCAGTCCTTTCTTTTTCTCTCACTTTGCCAATTCAATGCCCTTGAAAAATCATAAGCACCTATTAAATTTGTTGTAAATTAAGCATTATTATTATCATTGCAACTAAACCATGGTAGATGAAGTAGAATGGCTGCTGAAAGCGAAGGATACCACTTTTAACAGCAAACAATAAAAAAGCCGTCGGCAGATATTTCAGACATAAATCCAAGAGTGCCCTTCCAAAAGGCACACCTAACACATGGCACAGATGAAATACGATATCCTTTCTAGGGGTATATTGGTCAATAAGAAACAAAACCCCAACTTTACTTTTGAACCATGATAGAAATATTTGTGTTAGGGAGAGTGTCAAAGATGAATCTAGCTAGATTCTGACCCTTATCGATGGTTTGAGAAAAGTAGAAGTCTTTCTTAGCTGTGTGTTTTCCCTTCTTTCTCCTCATAAATGAGACTACTGGTATGAGAAAGGGAGAGGCTTTCCTTTGAAGGGAAGACACAGGTCCCTGTCTACAGTTGTATACACGCTAGTTCGTACAATGAACCATCACCAGAAAAAATATTTATAAATAATATATGAAATATACCTCAAATTAAGATGATTTCCTTAATATTCCAAGAGTTTATCCTCTTGACAGACATTGGATGATGCAGAAAACATCCTTGTTCTCCAATCCTCAATGTTTCTGTAAAACCCAAAACAATTAGAGTCCCATGTTCCATGATATGATCGGTGATATCTACCGACATCTAGAAAGACAAAATCTGATTTTACAAAAACAAAAACATAAAAAATAGTAAAAGAACACTACTTTTCTTTCCGGAAGTAGAAGATCAAATCAAAGCAACAATCCAAAACCAAAAATAAAAAATATCACGAAAAATTGTAGAACCAACCACCGATCTTTTAAGAATGGATAACTCAGAAAGAAAATTGCAGTGACTTGATATTCAAACTTCACAAAGCAACCACACACTGTATATCTCTGACAAAGACACACACTAAAGTAGTGACACAGAAATGACAGAAAAGATCACAAACCAAACTCAACCCTTTGCTTTGACAACTCTCGACAACGTTCATATTCTTAGAGCAAAAACGCGTATTCATGCTCAAATCACAAAACACTAGAAACCAGAAGCAGTTACCTCAGACTCAGAAACATACAGAAACGGTTTCTGCTTCATAATTGAGAAACGGACACAAAACACTCAAAATCTCATTTAATAATACTGTAAAAATAAGTGAAGAAATCAGAAGAATCTTCCCCCCCAGAGTCAAAGGTTACGATAAAGTCTGGAAATTTCAAATAAAAATTAAGAGAAAAAAAATTACCAGCTAAGACTGAGAAAATAATCAAGTTAACTACCAAGTGCAGTATAGAAGTATTCACTTCACTTCAATGTTCACACCCACTATTCAAAAATCAAATTCTTTCAACTGTTCTCTCTCTACAAATGGAAGATAGTGTGTCAGTCTCGCTGTCTCGAAGATGAAGATTCTCTCTGTAAAAGGCATTATTTTACACTGTCAACGGAGAAAGGGGACTTAAAGCTCGAACATGTTTTTCCATCCAACGGTCAGGATTGGTTTTCGGACAGATATTGCAACCGTTGTGATTGGGTAAATTTTGAATATGTACGAAATTCTAAAAATCTATTACTGTACTATAATTTTTAATATACAAAGTCTTGTTTGTTTGTTTTTTTAAATACTATCCTGTTTTAAAAATAATAAAGAATAATACAACGTTATATTTATCATTTTAAAAATAATTTTAAACTAAACATACTACCATAACGTGTTTACTTTATATTAGGGAAAATATAGGTGTTTATGTTTTATTTCTAAAAAAATTCAAAATAATCGGAGTCATTATTAAATATTAATACAGTAATCGGGAGGAAAATTATGATGTATGAGATATTATGCATGATAAAAGTTAAATAAAATGGTTAAAAAAAAGTAACGTAAATGTATATTATATATATATATATATATATATATATATATATATATATATATATTATATTTTTTT